AGGATAAATACAAAGAAAGTCACACCATGACTCACCATGGTAACACTGTTTAAAACCAGAAACACAAAGAAAATCTTAAAAGTTGCCACAGGACATGAAGAAATTACCAGCAAAGATTACACCTACAATTGACTTCTCAACAGAAATAATGAAAACAAATGGATATTGGAAAAACATTCTTAAAATGTTGAAAGAAAAACATTGTCGCCGGGCCTGGTGGCTCATGCCTGTAATCCAAGCACTTTGGAGCCCAAGGCGGGCGGATCACCTGAGGTCAGGAGTTCAAGACCAGCCTGACCAACATGGTGAAACCCCGTCTTTAAAAAAAAAAGAAAAGCATTTGTCAATGAAGAACTGTATACTAAGTAAAAATACTCTTAAGGAATGAAGGTGAAATTTTCTAACAAAAATGAAGCTAATGTTTTTAGCCACATGTGCAGGTCACAATCTGCTTGCACAAAGGAAATACCAAAGCATATTATTCTTCAGGCAGAGGGAAAATAACTCTGACGGAAGACTGAAAATGCAAGAGGGAATGAAAAACAACAAAAACTATCCTCTCCTGTCTTATGCCACTGACCTGCACCTAAAGTGAACATCCTGATTTTGTCAAGGACAGAGATACTGCAAGCCAGGGTCAATGTTCAAGTTTCTGGGTTAGTGTGTGCATGAATGTTTATTATTTCTAAGAATGAATGAATAAATGAAGGAAGAAAGAGTACACGCACAAAGATCAGTCAGAAGTCATGGCAGTAGTTCCGGGGAAAAAGGAAGATGGTCTGGGATGGTAGCAGTGCAGATGGAGAGAAGCAGATAGATTTGAGAGATATTCGAGAGGCAGAAAGGACAGATCTTGGCAACCAACTGGGTGTGGGACTGAGGTAGAAAGAAGAAGAGTTATAAATGATTCTCAGGTTTCAGGTTTAAGTAACTGGGTGGCTGGTGAGGCCACTCAATGAGAAAGGGAACCACAAGTGTATGATGCCCTTCATGAAATGCATAGTGAATACGGAGGTCTCCTCATATCTAATCCATCCCCTACATATGGCACCATGAGGTCAGGGTAAGAATTAAACCACTCTCTGCTCCAGAGGCATAAATTCTGATTTGAGCTATAAAGCCTAACACCTACATATACCTGGCAAAGTACATAGTTCTGGAGGAAGACTTGGGTACTTTTGCTTGGTGTTGAAAGAAGCCAACTCTTCCTTAACCTCAACTTCAAACAGGAGGTATTTAGTAGTAGCTGCTCACAGGCATTTTGTGAAGTCAGCCTAAGGATAGAGCTGATATAAGTAGAGAGCAAAGCCACTCAAAGAAATGAAGCCAGAGCTCTAATGCAACCAAGATCAGGGCCGGCCTGCCTCTGGACCCCTCAGTTTGTCAGCCTGTACCCATATTCTTATTTAAAAAGGCCACATGGGTAGGCTTTCTACTACTTACACCTAAAGACACTGAACTAATACCAAGTTTGGAAATAAAAAGGGGATTTGTAAGTAACAAATCTTAAAGTGTGAAATTGGCTCAGCTGTAGCAGAGTAAAGATTCCCTCTTGCTGGGAATTTGGATATCCTTACTATATTGGTTAAAGAATCTTTATGATTACCAATAATATTGTGCTGGAGAGCCTGAGAGGGAAAAAGTGCAGCTAGCGGTGTTTTCACAACTCCTTGTGGCTTTCGCTAAGATCCTGCACCCAGGGGTTTTGTAAATATTGGTCTCTGTGCTTTTCTTTCTTTTTTTTTTTTTTTTTTTTTTAAATTTTCCAGAAGCCTGAAATTTCAAAGTAAAGTCTCTGTCCTTTTCAATGTTTTTAATTATCAAAATATAACACATTCAGAACTCTCAGTATTAAAAAACTAGGTCGTAAGAAAATACTTAAGGAAAAGTTTTAGACCCTATTTGTTCCTGACTGTTGTTTTAGGGTCTCATGCTTTATTATAATAGTCAGAAATCATCTGGCCAAAAACAAGGACTATAAATTTAGAGGTGAGAGATTAAGTAATTTTTGCTTTCAAATTTTAACCTCATGGAATTATGAAATACAAAGGCAGGATGGATCAATTAAAACAAATAACTAGGTAGTCTATGTATGAAAGGAACTCTCCAGCCTAAGTAACAAAGTAGCCAATCAATAAAAAGACTAACATTTAAAGTATTTAACAACAAAATGCCCTGGTTTTCAAAAATGAAATTCTGATAATCAGATTCTTTCTTTTTTCCCAACACAAGAAGGTCAATTTTAAACTTCTAGATAGCCAAATAAGCTCTTGTCATATAAAGGTTTCAAGGTTAGTAAAGATGTAATCATTTATTCTGATACCATAGTAAATATTTTAAACAAATAAAATCGAAAATTACCCAACACACTAATAACATACTATATCCCTTACTCTTCTTAACTCACTCATCTTTTTTTTTTTAATTAGTTATTTTCAGTGTGTGTTTCTACTCATCTGCCTTCATCTGATTCACTGTCCACTTACTTCTCGTAGTCTCTCTGTATGTGTCTAGTCTTCTCTGAATATGAACCAGGATATCTTTGTACTTTCTGTTTCTAAGGTCCCCCTTTTACTATCTCTGTTCTCTTCCTTCCCCTTCCTTCTTTAGCCATATGCTATAACCTGAATGTCTGTGCTCCCCCAAAATTTATATGTTGAAATCCTAACCCCCAAGGTGCAGTATTAGAAGATGGGACCTTCAAAGATGATTAGGTCATAAGGGTGTCCTCATGAATGAAATTAGCACCCTTATAAAAGAGGTTCCAGAGAACTCCTTTGCCCCCTTTGTCACATGAGGATACCACAAAAAGGTGCCGTCTAGGAGCCAGAAAGCAGGCCCTCCCCACACACAGAATCTGCCTTGACCCTGAACTTCCCAGCCTCCAGAATTGCAAGAAATAAACGTATGTTGTTTATAGAGTGCCCAGTTTATGGCATTTTGTTAGAGCAGCCAAGTGGACTAAGACGCCACAGTATTTAACTTATTTAACATGATTATGGAATCCAAGGTTTTCATCTCTGCTTGACCACTTGCAGAGAGTAAGACAGTTTTTATTTCTGACTTTAAAAAATATTGTTTCTTGAGTTAGTGTTGTGTGATCCTTGAATTGATTTACTGAATAAGTCAGTGTCATGATAAGGTGCTGCTTACTTACCACAGAATAACACTTTTTACTAAGGGTTTTGAAACAAAAAGCCAGTTCTTGGGCAGGAAAAAATTAACCTATGGAGTCACTAACTTAAATTACTAAAAAATGGCATTAGAATCCTGGGACTTATGCCACTTATACACTTTTATTTTTAAAATTCAGATTTCTGCCGGGCACAGTGGCACACACCTGTAATGCCAGCTACTAGAGAAGCTGGAAGGGAAGATTGTTTGAGCCCAGGAGTTTGATACCAGCCTGGGAAACACAGCAAGAACCTATCTGAAAAAAAAAAAATCAAATTTCTTTAAATAATTTTCTATTAAATGGATACAAGGTCTAATTTGATAACAGCTTATAAAAATGTTGTGAATTTAGTGAGTGCTTAAATTATGACTTGGCTTTGATATTTCCACAGTTTTACCACTAATTCACCGACTCCTTACTATTATAAGATACAACTGAAAGCATTTTACAAATATGTGTACCCAAAGAAGGTCTAGAGACAGCAAAAAATGAAGCAGAGACAATTAATCCATTCAAATCAGATGGCCAAGAGGATAGCAAGAATCAGAAACTAGAACTCTTGGTTCATAGAACATCACCATTTAACCTCTGTACTTCCACAATCATAAATCTGTGCTTTACAATTTTTTTGTTTCACTCTTTACAATACCAACTTACTTCTCTATAAATATAAGTACAGCAAATCATTTCCCTTTTAATTGAAGTACATTTAAATAGCTTTCTTCTTTTGTTTTAAGATCTACTAAACTATGTTCTGCATTGAAAAAGTTTAAAATAGGTTTCTAGACATAAAGAGAAAATCAGTTTGGCTGGGCAGTGGCTCATGCCTGTAATCCCAGCACTTTAGATGGCTGAGCGGGTGGATCACCTGAGGCCAGGAGTTCGAGAGCAGCCTGACCAACATGGAGAAACCCCGTTACAAAATTAGGCCGGGTGCAGTGGCTCACACCTCTAATCCCAGCACTTTGGGAGGCCGAGGCTAGTGGATCAAGAGGTCAAGAGATCGAGACCATCCTGGTCAACATGGTGAAACCCTGTCTCTATTAAAAATACAAAAATTAGCTGGGCATGGTGGCGCGCACCTGTAGTCCCAGCTACTCGGGAGGCTGAGGCTGGAGAATTGCTTGAACTCAGGAGGCAGAGGTTGCAGTGAGCCGAGATCACGCCATTGCACTCCAGCCTGGGTAACAAGAATGAAACTCCGTCTCAAAAGAAATACAAAATTAGCCAGGTATGGTGGCGCGTGCCTGTAATCCCAGCTACTCAGAAGGCTGAGGCGGAAGAATCATTTGAACCTGGGAGGCGGAGGCTGCGGTGAGCCCAGATGGTGCCATTGTACTCCAGCCTGGGCAACAAGAGCGAAACTCTAACTCAAAAAAAAAAAAAAAAAAAAAAAAAAAAAAAAAACAGAGAAAATTATAGTCTAATATTTGATATTACAGAGTAAAAAAAGATCAGCTTTTGAACAAACTAGGCATAGAAAAAAAAAGAAAGAGCCTTAAAAGTCAAATAGAAAGCCCCATAATCAAATTCAAAACTTAGCTTTTCTCATGAGCTAGAGAACAGCTGTATTAAGGTGTCTGTATTTTTCCCAAACCATACATCTCAAATGTTGTGATTCTCCATAATATTCCAGAGTTTAATATATGCCACGCTCCAGGACAGTAAGTCACTATGAACCAGTTTCTAGAAGGGCTTGCATTGAATAATTTCCCTTTTAATTGTGATTCTAAGTTGCCAGCCCTTAGCAAGGAAGTATGGAAGAAGAATGATTCAGAGACAGGTGTTCTTAAAATGAAGTAAGCATGTAAGGGAAGGTACTAGCCTGTCATATGCAGCAATCATAAAGTTGAGGAGGAGGCTGATAGATTGTTCCACACTAATTTGGTGAGTAGAAGGAAGGCGCTTGTTCAACTGATAGTAGATGGAGGAGATGACAGTTTCCAGGCGAGACACACTGATCTCAGTGGCATGGTCCAGTGTATTAAGGCCATTGTCTCGGAAGGCTTCAATCATGTTCCAGATATCAACAAGATGAACTAAAAGACAAAGAAAATAAGCTGTCAACAATTTTAAAGGGTGGTACTACATTCACAACAGGACTCTTAAATTTATCAACTAGTTCTTAAGTTTAAGAGAAGAAACTTTCTAGCCAACAATGAGGAAAAAAACATTCTGTGGTCAAATAAAGAACTTCAGTCCTAGACAACATCAAGGAGCCAACACAGCGGTAGGGGAAGGACCACTTCAGACTTCACATGTAAATAGCCAGTATTTCACGTCTTTGCAAACAGCGACCCATGCTATTCCTAGCAATGCATAATTGGAGAAAAAAAGATCAAGAACTACTTATGAGAACTTCTACCCTTTTTGAAAATTTGCTGTATCATCTTGAATCACTTTATTGTATTACTTTAGCCTAGCAACTAAAGCAACAGTTTACAACTCAAACTTTATAACCCTAAGGAGAGAGGGAGAAATACAACTGCATTAAGTAAAATATTAACATTCTCTCCAGGCGACTCATAGCTCTCAACAACTCATAGCTCAGCCAAAAATAAATGTATCTATTGCATATTTCCTCTAACATTTAAGAGGCTAACTTTCTTTTAAATCTCATTTTCAGTAATAAAGTAGGCTGGGTATCCGGGTCTACACTCCTCTTGAAACATGACAAAAATTCCTGGATGGAACATAAAAACAACTTCTTAAGTGCACCAAAAAAGTAAATAATACTCAACTAGACAGAAAAGAGACATTTCTTTGAAAGAAAAATAAGAATGACACCTGACTTCAAGCAACAAAGGAGGCAGAAGACTGCAAAAAAAATTTTAATGTACTGAAAAGAAATCAAAACCACCAACGAAATTATATACCTAGTATAAAAAAAAAAAAAGCTTTCAGGAAAAAAGGTTCAATAAAGACATTTTCAAGTACACAAAATCTGAAAGTATACTTTCCAACACTGAAAAACTAGGGGAAGAATTGAAATTAGGAAAATACAATTGATCAATCCAAAAGAAGGCAAGAAACACAGAACAAGTAGCACGAATAGCAAAAAAAAAAAAAAAAAAAAAAAAGATGGCTGGTGTGGATCCAAATATATCAGCTAATTGCAATAACTATAAACATACTAATGTACCACTTAAAAGACAAAGACTGGCAAATTCACGTTTTTTAAATAATCAAACTATATGCTGTTTGCAAGGAATATGTGTAAAGCACAAAGACATAAAAAAGGTTTAAATATAAGTAGATGACAATTTCTAACCACAATAAAGGTGATGTTACTTTATTTGTAACAGAAAAAAAGAGGGGAGCTTTTTTTGTAAAACCACATGATCAACTCAATAGACACAGAAGTAGCATTTGGAAAAATCAAATATCCTTTCATAATAAAAACACAACAAACTAAAAATAGAAGAAAACTTCTAGTACTTTAGGAGGCCAAGGCAGGAGGATCCCCTGAGGTCAGGAGTTTGAGACCAGCCTGGTCAACAGGGCAAAACTCTGTCTCTACTAAAAATACAAAAAAATTAGCTGGGTGAGGTGACAGGCACCTATAATCCCAGCTACTCGGGAAGCTGAGGCAGGAGAATCACTCGAAGCCAGGAGGCAGAGGTTGCAGTGAGCCAAGATCGTGTCACTGCACTCCAGCATGGGCCACAAAGCAAGACTCCATCTCAAAAAAAAAGGGGGGGGGATGAAGTACTGATAGACAAATCCATTTTTCAAAAGTACATTAGTAGTTGCCAGAGATGGGAGATGAAAAGAATGTGGAGTAACTGTTAATGGGTATGTGGTTTATTACCGGGGTGATGAAAATGTTCTAGAATATGACAGTGATGATGGTTATACAACTCTATGGATACACTAAAAGTCAATGAAAAGATTGTACACTCTAAAAGGGTGAATTTTACAATATATGAATTTTATATATTTTTTTAGTGGTGGAACAAAACACATTGTTAAAGATACAGAGGGTCACTGAATAATGATATAAGTTTTAATTCATAAGAAAGATATAAGAGGCTTGGTGCAGTGGTCCATGTCTGTAATCCCACTCCTAGCTTCAGTTGAAGCCAAGAGCTCATGACCAGGCTGAAGAACACAGTGGAACCTAATCTCCACACACAAAAAAATTTTTTTTTTTTTGGGAAGAAAAATCACTTTATTCTAATTAACTCACAAAGAATAAAATCGTAACAGCTAGTTTAAGGAGGCCACACATTTGACCAGCTCCAAATTCTACAGAGTAGGAACACCCCCTTCCATTTCAATTCTGAAGCAAGGAAGCTAGGAATGACAGGAGAGGCTACACTTTATACTTTCACTATTTTTTTTTTTTGGTGGGGGGGGATGGAGTTTCGCTCTTGTTACCCAGGCTGGAGTGCAATGGCGCCATCTCGGCTCACCGCAACCTCCGCCTCCTGGGTTCAGGCAATTCTCCTGCCTCAGCCTCCTGAGTAGCTGGGATTACAGGCACGCGCCACCATGCCCAGCTAATTTTTTGTATTTTTAGTAGAGACGGGGTTTCACCCTGTTGACCAGGATGGTCTCGATCTCTTGACCTCGTGATCCACCTGCCTCAGCCTCCCAAAGTGCTGGGATTACAGGCTTGAGCCACTGCGCCCGGCCTACTTTCACTATTAATTAAATTTTTATATTAAGTTAACTTGGTTATGAGAGCTGGTTTTCCATTTCTCCAGTTTGAACTTCTTGATTAGGCCAATACGTTTGCAAGTTGGCACTGTTTCAGCACCTCACTGAAACCCTCACAGAGCTTGATGTCACCCTGGTTTTGGGCACACTCCAAGAATTGTTTGATCTCATAGAAGCAAGTCTGCTGCTGCTGCGCCGGCTGGGTTCCCTGAGGCTCCTGGTAAGTGATGTCAGACCTCGCAGGCTCAGGATCACTTCCTCCACTGAAGCCCCCAGTAATGGCGTGGCCCAGTGTGTGCCCCACAGCAGAGCCCACAGCCACCCCAGCTGCAGTGGTTGCCATCTGGGACAGCAGACCTGGCTGCCGGGGCGCAGCAGCAGGAGAGCCAACTGCAGAGGGGGGTGCCGCTGCTGGTGGCTGAGCGGCTGGTCCTGGCCTGGGCGTAGCTGTCATCTGAGGGGCCTGGCTGGCCGGAGGGGCCATGCGGGAGGTGCGGCTTCGGCTTCCACGCGGCATCCTACCGACGGGGCTGCTCGGACTTTAGACATGCAATGACCCCCAAAAAAATTTTTAAATAGTTAGGCACAGTGGCACATGCCTGTATCCTTAGCTACTGCAGAGGCTACAGCAGGAGGATCAGCCCAGGAGTTCAAGGCTTCAGGGAGCTATGATTGTGTTACTGCACTTCAACCTGAGTGACAAAGTGAGAAAGTGAGACCCTAGAGTCCAAAAAACAAACAGTAAACAGAAAAGAAGGAAAGATGTAAGAACTTTACATTTATTTACATCTAATAGAATAGTCTCAAAACATATAAAGCGAAAATAAACAGAACCTCAAAGGGACACAAAGGAATTCAGAAGCTTAGTGGGGGTTATTAACTCACCTCTCTTAGTAAGTAATAGTGCAAATAAACACTCAAAAAGTACAGACACAGATGATTAAACTTCACAACAAAGTAGGCATAATGAGCACTATATAAAGTACGTCTCCACTGATGAGAGAATATGCTTTATTTTCAAGTACAAAAAGATACATATAAAAATTAACCACATCCTTGGCTGGGCACAGTGGCTCACGCCTGTAATCCCAGCACTTTGGGAGGCTGAGGTGGGTGGATCACCGGAGGTCAGGAGTTCGAAACCAGCCTGACCAATATGGTGAAACCCCGTCTTAGAAAAAAAAAAAAAAAAAAAAAATTAACCACATCCTTGGCTGGGCGCAGTGGCTCACGCCTATAATCCCAGCACTTTGGGAAGCCAAGGCAGGTGGATTACTTGAGGTGCGGAGTTCAAGACAAGCCTGACCAACATGGTGAAACCCTATCTCTACTAAAAATACAAAAATTAGCCAGGTGTGATGGTGCACGCCTGTAATCCCAGCTACTTGGGAGGCTGAGACAGGAGAACTGCTTGAACCTGGTAGGCAGAGTACAGTAAGCCGAGATCTCACCACTGCACTCCAGTACTGGCCACAGAATGAGACTCTGTCTCAAAAGAAAAAAAGACCATAACCTGAGCCATAAAGCAAATTTCAACAAATTTTAAAGGATTAAAATTATATGAACATGCTCTCTGATTAAAATGAAATTAAGTTAGAAATCATTATCAAAAAGGCAACTTTTAAAGGAAACCTTATCTTTAGAAATAAAGAAACACACTACCAGGAAACTTTCTTAATTAATCTGATTAAGGTTGTCATGGTTTGAATATTTGTCCACTGCAAAAATGATGTTGAAATGTAATCTAATCCCCAGTGTGACAGTATTGAGAGGTAGGCTTTAAGAGGTGATTGAGTCATGAGGGCTCTGCCTTCATGAATGGATTAATCCACTCATGGATTAATGGACTAATTAATTAACGACTTATCATGGGAGTAAGACTGGTGGCTTTATAGAAAAAGGAAGAGAGACCGTCGCTAGCACACTCAGCCTCCTCACCATGGGATGCTGTGCATGGCCTCTGGACTCTGCAGAGTCCCCAGCACCAAGATGGTTTTCAACATATATGGCCCCACAGTCTTAGACCTTCCAGCCTCCATAAATGTATGAAATAAATTTCTTTCTTTATAAATCACCCAGTTTCAGGTACTCTGTTATAAGCAACAGAAAACAGGCTAAGACAAATGTTACCTACAAAGGACTTGCCAAAAACATATTTCTTCATAGTAAAACGAGAGGCTTTGCTCTGATCATGGGAATGAGATAAGAAATGTTCACTATCATCACTTCTATTGTACTTGAGGCCAAACCAAGATAAATATGCAGATAAAGAAATCATCAGCATATTGGAAATGAGTAAATAAAGCTGTCATTATTCAGAAATAACAAAACTATGTACACAGAAATCAAAGATTCTACAGATAAATTAATATGAGTTGAGAACAACTGCTAGAAATGAGATCAAGATATAAAAATCACTGTATTTCTATACATCAGTAACATAACAATGAAATTTTAAAATAAGTATCATGTCATTGAAGACCTAGTAATAAATCCAATGAAGGGGCCAGGCATGGTGGTTCACGCCTGTAATCCCAGCATTTTGAGAGGCCGAGATGGGTGGATCACTTGAGGCCAAGTGTTCGAGATCAGCCTGGCCAACGTGGTAAAACCCTGTCTCAACTAAAAATACAAAAATTAGCTGGGCATGGTGGTGCATGCCTGTAGTCCCAGCTACTCGGAAGCTTGAGGCAGGAGAACCTCTCAAACCCAGGAGGTAGAAGTTGCAGTGAGCCAAGATCGCACCGCTGCACTTCAGCCTGAGTGACAGAGTGACTGTGATTCAAAAAATAAAAATTACAAAAATAAAAAATCCAGTGAAGGATGTGTAACATCTCTACAAAGAAATTAAAGACCTAAATATGGCCGGGCGTGGTGGCTCAAGCCTGTAATCCCAGCACTTTGGGAGGCCAAGGCGGGTGGATCACGAGGTCAAGAGATCGAGACCATCCTGGTCAACACGGTGAAACCCCGTCTCTACTAAAAAAAAAAAAATACAGAAAATGAGCTGGGCATGGTGGCGCATGCCTGTAGTCCCAGCTACTCAGGAGGCCGAGGCAGGAGAATTGCTTGAACCCAGGAGGCAGAGGTTGCGGTGAGCCGAGATCGCGCTATTGCACTCCAGCCTGGGTAACAAGAGCGAAACTCCGTCTCAAAAAAAAAAAAAAAAAAGACCTAAATAGCTCTAGGGATGAACATATACCACATTCATAAGAGGAAATCTCAGTGTTGGAAATATGTCAATTTTCCCCAACTTGATTTACTGATTCAATACAATCCGAATCAAAATCCCTGCAGGACTGTACAGTAAAAGAGGAATTTTACTGTTTGTAAATTATACTTGAAGAAAGAAATGAAAAAAAAAATACAAGAGAATTCTTTATTTTATTTTGTTGGTTTCAGTAGAAATTGGCAAGCAGATTCTAAAATTTATATGGAAATAAATATTAAAAAGACTGTCCCAGAGAATCTTAAAAAGAAAAACAGAGCAAAGTAGGAAGACTTGCCTTGCCTGACATCTAGATTTACTAAACTCTAATAGTAGTTATGGCTACAAGAAACAGTGTGTTATTGGTAGAAGGACAGACAAACAGTCCAGTGGAAGACAAAGAGGATCAAAAAGCAGACCTCATATATGGACACTGCCACTAACATTCTTGTACAGAATCAAGAATCAATGTATATGAGAAGACTCTTTAGCAGTGAAAAATATTGTTTATTTTCTTCTGTTTATTGACTATTTATTGACCTTTTCAATAAAAAGCGAAAGAACAATTGAACATACGTAAGAAAAACATACTTGAAAACTGACTACTACTTATCCTGTACATTCTCAAAATTTTTTTCAGATCAACTGTAAAATCCTAAGTGAAAGGTAACAAAATAAAACCTTTAGAACAATGCATCTTTTACTTTATATTATTAATGCCACTAGCCTAGTCAGGCTCTCAACACTCCACACATTCAATTCTAAGGTTAATGTTCTTTCCATTGTATGAAATAGTTTTTTACTGATACATACAAACACAAGAAAAGTACAATAATTCTGTCATGAGTTAGTTCATCTTCACGGAAATAAAGAGAAGAAAGATTACATATATACCACAGACATACATATACATATATACAGACACACACACTTTATAATCTACATGGTAGCAATTATTTATAAAAAAGGTTGATTCATATTATATTAAGCTTAATCAAGAAAATCAATTTCAATTACTATGTACCTTTATCAAAAACATTAGTGTTTTTCTTTTCCTCCAGAAGCTGCTAAATTGCATTAATTTTGTATAAAACATTTTGTATAAAGCATAATTTTATATAAAGCATTTCCTTAATAGAAGACACAGAGAAATCGATTCTCCCATTTAAAGAACATTAATACCACACCAGCCTGAAAACTAGCTACATTATTGAGTTTGTTAAACATTTTGAGGGGCAAACGAGTAAAATGACAAGTTCTTCCATTACAAAGCTTACATACTGATAAACACTTAAGACAAAAATAGTTCAGTTAACATTACAATATGACCAGAACATGTTAAAGTCTTTTACAATATTGAAAACTATCCAGCTATCACAGAAATGAGTAGAAATGACTCACGGTTGCATCGTTTTTGTACAAATCGTAATTTGCAGGCTGTTCTGTAAGTTGATAGTCGTATGACATCAAAATTCTGAGCACCTGAAAAAAGGCAAACAGAAATGCTCAACTAGATTTACCATTTAGTTTCCAAACGCTAGGAAGTGGCTCCATTCTACTGTGTTCCACAGTATACAAGTCAGCTAGGACTTCTGTTTTGAAATGGAGGGTCAATTAAAAAAAACAGAGGGAGAAAAGGATAGGAAACACGTGCATGCCCAATACGTGCCGGGACTCTGCTAGTCTTGCTCCTGATATCCTGTCTGTTCATCAGAGAAAACTCCAAAGGTAGGAACACTTATGACATGGGTGAGTGAACTACATGATTAGGAAAGGGCAGCAGGGTGGCATCGTGGGAAAGACCCAAGCCTAGAGTCAGAAAAGCTGCATGCCTGTCCCAGCCTGACAAACCACAGAATGCAACTGTGACCATGCCGCATGCCTCTGCACATAAGTGTCCTCATCTGGGAAATGGGAGAGCCTACCAGCTGCCTATAAGGTCCCCTTCCAGGTCTGTGGCAGCCTGTATTTTCCTAAAAAAGTGTCCACAACAGTGTTTCCAGAGCAGTATTTTATGTGCTTCTCGTATGTTGTCCCTCTCCATCAAGATCTAGAGATTCTTTCCTTCCATGGGAATCTGACCAGGACACTGTGACTGCCTCGCTGCCCAGAACGCAGCAGAAGTACAGTGTAGGACTTCTGGAGACAGATGGTAGAAGACGGCACAGCTTGCTCCCCTCTTGCTCTTCCGGGATGCCTGCCCTGGGAACCCAGATGCTATACCATGAGGAAGCCCAGACTGATGTGGAGAGGCCACAGTGAGAGGCTCATAGGCAGAAGAACTGAGTCCACCAACCAAAGCAGCACCGGTTGCCAAATGCGCAGGTAAGCAAGCCTTCAAATCATTCAAGCTCTGAGCCTTTGAGTCTTCTGCTGAGATCTCAGGCATCATGAAGCAAAGTCAAGACATCAGCACTGAATGCTGTTCTGAGTCTAGACCCAAAAAATGCATAAACAAAATAAATGACTATTTGAAGAGTAAGCCAGAGTAACTAGACCAAAGCCTAAAATTGTACATGAGTTTATAAATCACATTTTGTTCTCATTTTAAAATTTGCTGCAAATGAAGTCTACTTGAATTTTAAGGTCGCTTTAGATAGGGTTGGCCCCAATGTGAGATTTATTTCACCTATCCTGCCTTTATAAAATCTGGCAGCAGCTTTTGACTCAACAAGGGGAAAGAGCAAGACCCTATCTCTAAAATATATGTATATACATAAAATATATATATTTTTATATTATATAAATTATATATAAATATATTACATATAGTATGTATTTTTATATTATGTAAATATATTTGTAATATAATTCACATTCCATACAATTCACCCATTTAAAGCATGCGACTAAATGGTGTTTACTACACACACAATTGTGCAATCATCACCACAATCGATTTACAACATTTTCATCATCCCAAAAAGAAACCTCTTACCCTTAACAGTCACTTTACCTACCACGCCTGGCTAATTTTTAATTTTTTTTTTTTTTTTTTGAGACGGAGTTTCGCTCTTGTTGCCCAGCCTAGAGTGCAATGGCGCGATCTCGGCTCACCGCAACCTCCGCCTCCTGGGTTCAGGCAATTCTCCTGCCTCAGCCTCCTGAGTAGCTGGGATTACAGGCACACGCCACCATGCCCAGCTGAATTTTTGTATTTTTAGTAGAGACGGGGTTTCACCTTGTTGACCAGGATGGTCTCGATCTCTTGACCTCGTGATCCACCCGTCTCGGCCTCCCAAAGTGCTGGGATTACAGGCGTGAGCCACCGCGCCCGGCCTAATAGAGACAGGGTCTCGCTATGTTGCCCAGGGTGGCCTCAAACTCCTGGGCTTAAACAATCCTCCTGCCTCGACCTCCCAAAGTGCTAGGATTACTGGCTTGCACCACTGCACCAAGCCCTGAGCATATTTTAATTGAGTTGTCTTTTTATCACTGAGTTGTAAATGTTATTCACATACTTTAGATACTAGTCACTTGCGAGATACATGATTAGCAAATATTTTCTCCCATTCTGTGGGTAGTGGCTTCTTGATTTTAGTGGCCTCTGTTGAAGTATAAAAGTTTATCATTTTGATAAAGTCCCATTTATCTATTTTTTGTTGTTGTTGTTTTGAGACAGAGTCTCACTCTTGTGGCCCAGGCTGGAGTACAGGTGTAATCTTGGCTCACTGCAACTTCTACCTCCTAGATTCAAGCAATTCTCCTACCTCAGCCTCCTGAGTAGCTGGGATTACAGGCTCCCGCCACCCCACCTGGCTAATTTTTGTACTTTCAGTAGAGATGAGGTTTCACCATGTTGGCAGGCTGGTCTCAAACTCCTGAACTCAGATGATCTGCCCGCCTCAGCCTCCCAAAGTGCTGGAATTATAGGCATGAGCCACCACTCCTGGCCTATTTTTTTTTCTTTTGTCATTTGTGCTTTTGGTGTCAGGTCCAAGATGACTTTGCCTAATTCAAGGTCGAGATGTATACCTGTGTTTTCTTCTAAGAGTTATACAGTTTTAAATCTTATATTTAGGTCTATGATCCATTTTGAGTTAATTTATAACATGGTGTGAGGTAGGGGTCCAAATTCACTCTCCTGCATGTGAATATCCAGTTCATTTGTTCAAAAGACTGTTCTTCCCTCAGTGAATGGTTCTGCCACCCTTGTCAAAAAATCAACTGACCACAGTTACATGGGTTTAATTCCAGATTTTCAATTCTCTCTCATTGATTGTGTGTCCATCCTTATGCCAGTAGCATACAATCTGGATTATTGTAGCTTTGTAGTAAGTTCTGAAATCAGAAAGTGTGAGCCTCCAAGTTTGTTCTTAATTTTCAAGATTCTTTTGGCTATTCTGGATCATTTGAATTTCCATATGAATTTTAGGACCCGTCCATCCATTTCTACAAAAAAATCCACTTGAGATGTTTATGTATGAGGATTGCATTGAATCTGTAGGTTAATTTAAGGAATACTGCCTTCTTTCTTTTTTTTTTTTTTTTTTTTTTTAGAGACAGTGTTTCACCATGTTGGCCAGGATGGTCTCGATCTCTGACCTTGTGATCCACCCGCCTCAGCCTCCCAAAGTGCTGGGATCACAGGCATGAGCCACCGTGCCCAGCCAATACTGCCTTCTTATAAATAATAAGTCCTCCAACCCATCAACATAGAATGTCTTTCATTTATTTGGGTCTTCCTTAATTTCTTTCAACAACATTTTATAATAGCATATAAGTTTTACACTTCTTTTGTTAAATTTATTCAGTTCTGTTTTCTTTTACTTACTTAGCTTCTTAATAAATCACTATCTCAGCCTAAATTGGAAACATTAAATATTAGTAAAAAACTAAACTGATGATTTAAACAAAGAATGGGTGGCAAAGATTCAAGGGCATTTAATAAATAACCCGTCATTATATCACCATAAGTAATTTTAACATCTAGATATTTATTTTTGTGAAATATTTTTATGGGAAATACTAAGAAAACAAATGGGAACAGCTAGGAAAGGAAAGCTCCTTCCCAACAGATGAACAGAAAGGTTAGTAATGACTGATTAGACTGCAAGGCAATTATTAGGCCATGTTTGCTCATGGAAAAGTAACTACAGGAAAAAGTCAGTGCACCTGGTATAACTGCCTTTCTTCAGACTCTTTCTCCAGTGCAGTGACAGATTCGCATACCGCAAAAGATGAAATACAGCAAATATCACAAAAGTACAAAGCTAACTGTAATACTTTTGGAAAATGATAAACTCCATGTCCTCCAGCCAAGTTTGCCAGAGATCTCTACACCGAAGTTTCAGGAACAGTTAAGAATCAAGTGTCACTCTGCTTTCCTTTGCCACTGTCCCTTATGAACTTGCATCACCCTAAAGCCCAGTGGAAAAAAGGTACAGACATTAGTGGGATGGCACACAATTCAGACACTCTAGGGAGCTGTGCCACAACAGAATTTTAGAGATCTAATAGCAGTCACAAAGAGTTAGATACAAACAACAGCCTTAGAATCTTACTAAAATCATATTGTGCCAACATTCTACTAAGAGTCTAAAACCTCCCATATGTCTGCCTTATTCTGGAGCAATCATCTTTGCTGGTTTCTTAGAAGGAAAGTAAAGTCCTCACCCACTGCCTCAAAGGATAAGCCTTCACTATTTTATTTTATTTCATTTTATTTTATTTTTTGCCCAGGCTAGTCTCAAACTCCTGAGCTGAAGTGATCCTCCCACTTCGGCCTCCTGAGTAGCTGGAATTACAGGCATGAGCCACCATGTCTGGCAACTACTCCTTGCAAAACTCTGCAGCTACTTCTAAAATATTTCTTATTGAGATATTGGCTCACAGCTGATTCCCACTGACAGCTTCCTATATTTCGTGTAATTATGCTTTCATGAAAAAGGATACAGTTCTATTCTGTTAAAATGTTAAAGAAACACGCAACCTCAGATGAGATTTTAGTGCACTGCAAACACCTCCTTTTATTTCCAGACAAGAGAAGAGCTTTAGGAAAATGACAAATGTAGACACCAGATCAACTTCAAAGTCTTTTTATAAGCAAGAAGATATAAATAATAAAAGTGAGATAAGTGACAGCCAATTTGTCGTGCCTGTGCACCTACGTGTGTGTGTGTGTGTGTGTGTGTGTGTGTGTGTGTGTTGATAGGAGAAGGCAGGATATGAAGCAAAATTTGCTAACTGCAATCATAGTGAAGATCATGTGATTCTAAGGGTTAATTAGCATCATCTGATCATAAGCATTGCCTGGCACTATGCTAAATGCATCAAATTCCAGGTCCCACTCCAGAGCTACTTCCTGAAACAAAATCTCCTGTGAGAACCCCTGGAATCCTTTTTTTTTTTAAGACAGGGTCTCACTGTTTTTTTTTAAGACACAGTCTCATACTGTTGCCCAGGCTGGAGTGCAGTGGTGCGATCTTGGCTCACTGCAGCCTTGACCCTTTGGGCTCAGGTGATCCACCTCAGCCTCCCGAGTAGCTGGGACCACAGGTGTGTGCCACCACACCCAGCTAATTTTTGTATTTTTTACAGAGATGGGGTTTTGCTAAGTTGCCCAGCCTGGTCTTGAACTCCTGAGCTCAATGGATTTGCCTGCCTTGCCCTTCCAAAGTGCTATGATTATAGGCATGAGCCACCATGCCTGGCCTAGAATCTTCACTTTTAACAAGTGCCCAATAGAGTTTTTTGGGGTTTTTTTTGGTGTTGGTTTTGAGACGGAGTCTCATTCTGTCCCCCAGACTGGAGTGCAGCAGCGTGATCTCGGCTCACTACAACCTCCACCTTCCAGGTTTTGTAAACTGTCATGGCGCTGGTGGGAGTGTAGCAGTGAGGGCGCTACACTTTTTTCAGCTTACAAACGCGACTCTCCCATCTCAGCCTCCCAAGCAGCAGGGACTACAGGGGTGTGACACCATGCCTGGCTAATTATATATTTTTAGTGGAGACAGGGTTTCACTGAGGAAAGAAACCCCTGTTTACTGTCACTTGTCTCAAAAAAGGAGGAAGTAAAAGTTGAAACGTAGCAGGCATAGGGTCAGTGGCCTGGAGGTTAAAGATTAAAACCCCCACCCTTAAGATCTCAGGCGATCTTAAGTGGAAGAAGTGCCCTCTATTGTTCCCATTCAATCTTGCTCAAATCCCTATACTTACTTCATTGATTACCCCCTTACATGTACTTTCTGAAACTGTAAACCCAAGACCCTTTTACAGTAATATCTAGAGTTGTAAGCCTATATAAAGGCAGAGGTTTTCTTTGTTAGACAAGCTTGGCTGTTAGGCAACTATGCCACCTTGTTCCCAGCCGAATAAATCACCCCTTCCTTCCCTGTTCGGTGTTCCAGAGGTCTGTTTCTTGTGGCCACTCCTGCTTCATCACCATGTTGGTCAGGCTGGTCTCAAACTCCTGACCTCAAGCAATCTGCCTGCCTCGGTCTCCCAAAGTGCTGGGATTACAGGTGTGAGCCCCCACGCTGGCCCCAAAAGAGTTTTACAATCAAATTGCATTCAAGAAACACAGTACTACCCAGCTCAACTAACAGGTATGGCTCATGCACACTCCTCAAATTCACCTCACACCCAACTGCAATCAGTCTGGACTGCAAGGAAACACCCAATTGCACCCAGCCCTCTCATCTTGGGGTCTTCACAAGTGCTGCCGCCCCAGCCTTTCCTTCACTTCCTCAGACCAACTCATCCTGGGTGTCACTTCTCCCAGATGCCCCCTGAACCCCAGTGCTTCCCCCATGTGCCTCCTACTGCACTATTTCCAGGAAACGAAGTTACAGGATGAAGGCAAAGGCCACTTGTTGTTTCTGTTCACTGTTAAATGCTAACTAGAACACAATAAAACTGGCACCTGAAATGGTTATTCAATGAATAAATATGTTAAAATTGGGGAAGTTGTGTTGCTAGTGTGAAACACTGTGCTCTACTTTCTCCTAAAAATATACAAAATCAAAAGGTTAGACAAACTATAGATACAATTCTGGACATTAGCAAAGAAAAACTGATAGAGGAGGATGAGCAAAGTAGTGGGGAAGCCACCTCCTTTCAGTATTCTGTGTACAACAAGCCCACGCTTTTAGTATTCTTCAGGTAGGGCAGAGTGCTCTGCACTGTGTTCCAGGAAGCCACAGGATTTGAGGGAGGTGCTCGGCCAATCTGTCAGAGGCATTTGAACCAAAACAACTCCATCTTATCTAGGGGCAAGGTAAAATGAAGCTGAGACCCACTGGGCTGAATTCTCAGATGATTAAGTCACTCTAAATCACAGGATGAGATAGGAGGTCAGCCCAAGATACAGGTCCTAAAGACCTTGCTGATAAAACAGGTTGCAGTAAAGAAGCCAGCTAAAACCCACCAAAACCAAGATGGCGACAAGAGTGTGACCTCTGGTTGTCCTCACTGCTACACTCCCACCAGCACCATGACAGTTTACAAATGCCATGGCGACATCAGGAAGTTATCCTGTATGGTCTAAAAAGGGGAGGCATGAATAATCCACCTCTTGTTTAGCATATCATCAAGAAATAACCATAAAAGTGGGCATCCAGCAGCCCCCGGGGCTACACTGTTTACAGAGTAGCCATTCTTTTCTTCCTCTACTTTCTTAATAAACTTGCTTTCACTTTACTCTATGGGCGCGCCCAGAATTCTTTCTTACGCAAGATCCAAGAACCCTCTCTTGGGGTCTGGACCAGGACCCCTTTCCTGTAACAAATCCATGGAAGATACAAGGAAGTAAATGTGTTTTGTTTAAAAAGCAAGGCAGAAGAGCAGAAGATCAAACACCGCATATTCTCACTCGTAGGCGAGTACTGAACAATGAGAACACATGGACACAGGGAGGGGAGCACTACACACTGGGGTCAGTTGGGGGGAAATAGGGGAGGGACGGAGCGGGGTGGGGAGCTGGGGAGAGATAGCAAGGGGAGAGATGCCAGATATAGGTGATGGGGAGGAAGGCAGCAAATCACACTGCCACGTGTGTACCTATGCAACAATTTTGCATGTTCTTCACATGTACCCCAAAACCTAAAATGCAATAAAATAAATAAATGGGGGAAAATAAAAATAAAAAGCAAGGCAAATGGGAAGAAGAGGGATGAGGAGGAAAAGAGGATGAAGGAAGAAGAGATTATAGAGCTAGAAGATGCAAGCATAATAAAATGCTGAATTGTCTGAAATTTTTCACAAGCATTTATAATTTAAAAAATGTTTGGCCTGGCACAGTGGCTCATGCCTATAATCCCAGCACTTTGGGAGGCCAAGGCAGGTGAATCACCTGAGGTCAGGAGTTTGAGACCAACCTGACCAATAAGGCAAAACCCCATCTCTATTTTGTAAAAATACAAAAATTAGCCAGGCATGGTGGTATGTGCCTGTAATCCCAGCTACTTGGGAGGCTGAGACAGGAGAATCACTTAAACCTTGGAGACAGAGGATGCAGTGAGCTGAGATCGTGCCACTGCATTCCAGCCTGGGTGACAGATCAAGATTCTGCATAAAAAATTAAAAAAATAAAAATAAGAAGTTTTTCAAGGGATTGTTAGTCCAAATAAGTAACGTAAAGGACTTAATCTTTTTCTTTGCAATGAGAATTAAAACCTGGGAAACAGAGATGAGGCCAGAGGTCCCATCAGAGAGGAAGACATAAATACAGCCAAGACCACTGAACACTGAAGGATGACTCTCTCAGTGGGTGAATTAGGGAAAAAAGAGAACGCATCCCACAAAGGGAAATGCTGGGGACACAAACCTTTCTCCACCTTGATTCAAATTTACATTTATCTGAATTTAACACAAATAAGAATAATAGCAAGCAAAGAAAAGAATAACTAAATGGTCGGGTGCGGTGGTTCACGCCTATAGTCCCAGCACTTTGAGAGGCTGAGGCAGGCAGATCACTTGAAGTTAGGAGTTTGAGAACAGACTGGTCAACATAGCAAAACCCCATCTCTACTAGAAATACAAAGATTAGCTTTGTAGAAATACAAAAGCTAATCTTTGTATTTCTAGTAGACAAATATAAAGTGGTGGTGCAGGCGCAGGTTGCAGTGAGCCGAGATTGAGCCACTGCATGCCACCCTGGGCGACAGAGCAAGACTCCATCTTAAAAAAAAAAAAAAAAAAAGAAAGTAATAGCTAAATGGATTAAATTATACAAAATAATAACAAAGTCTAATCTGTGGAGTTAAAAAATATATCTTTTTTTTTTTTTAACAGGGTCTCACTCACCTAGACACTAGAGTGCAGTTTCATAATCTCGGCTCACTGTAACATTGACTTCCCAGGCTCAAGCAATCCTCCCAACTCTCAGCCTCCCAAGCAGCTGGGACTACAGGAATAAGCCACCACACCTGGCCAATTTTTGTTTTTTTCTAGAGACAGGGTTTTGCCACGTTGCCCGGGCTGGTCTCAAACTCCTAGGCTCAAGCAATCCACTTGCCTCAGCCTCCCAAAGTGCTGGAATTATAGGTATGAGCCACTGCGCCCAGCCCTTAAAGAAGATAATACTAAAAACGGTATAAATTTCATAAAGGAGGTACCCTAAAATATTCCAATATTCTCATAATATTTGAACAAAGTTACAAATATTGATAAGCTATATGTTAGTTAATGTTAATATTTCTAGAGTAAAGAACAGAAAAATACACAACTCACAACCAAGTAGAGGGAAGCAATGGGATGGAACGAAGCAAGCAAGCTCAGCTCTTCTAAGAAAGGGAAAGAAAGAAGGAACACATCAAAGAAAGGACAAAATTGAAGCACAAAATATGATGGAAACATAAACCAAAAATAAAACTCTAAGGCCCCCCAACCATCTGAATGGACTTCCTCCTCAGCCAGGGCTCTTTTAACATTTAACCTGAGAGACTGTTTCAGGCCATGATAGGAAGCTGGGGTCAAACATGCCTCACTCTACCCCTCTGGCATTACTGTCAACACAGACCTTAAGTTTAATACGAAACATGTTACAACCTGTCCTCTCGGAATCCTGCTACCTGGAGGCTTTATCTGTATGATAAAACTTTGGTTCTCCACGATCTCTTACTGCAACCCAGACTTTCCTTTCCGTCAATCCCAGGTCTTTGGGTAGACTCAACCAGTAGCCAACCAGAAAACTTTTCAATCTACCTACAAGCTGGAAGGCCCCCCCTCACCCCTTCAAGTTGTTCTGCCTTTCTGAACCAAACCAACGTGTTTCTCAAGTGTATTTGATTTTAGTCTCATGCCTCCTTAAAATGTATAAAACCAAGCTGCACCCCAACCACCCTGGGCACATGTTCTCAGGACCTCCTGAGGGCTGTGTTATGAACCACGGTCACTCATATTTAGCTTAGAATGAATCTCTTCGAATATTTTACAGAATTTGACACTTTTCATCAACAGAAAATATGAAATATATGACTATTCACTAAAAAGGCTAGACAGAATAAACTCTTCAGTGACAAGGCAAAGATTGTCATACTGTTTTTTTTTTTAAATATATTCTAGCTTATGCTACTTACAAGAGACAAAAACCTAAGAATTCAGAAATTTTTAAAGTAAAAGAATTAAAAGATATACACTGTACTAAGTATGCTAACTGAAAGAAAGCCAGCATTAGCTATATCAATATGCTACAAAATAGATTTCAAAGCATCAGAAGCATTACTAGATAAAAAGGGTAACTATATAATGACAAAAGATTCACTTTCCTAGGTAGACATAACATTTTAAAGTACATGCATCTAAGAATTAAAGTTTCAAAAGCTAACAGAAGTACAAGAAAAAATAGAATAATCTTGATCAAAGCTGAAATATTTAACATCTCTCAGTGATTAAGATCAAGCAATCAAATCACCAAGGACAAAAAAGATTTTGATGCAATATGCAACAAGCTTGATCTAAATAATGCAGAAATCATACACATTTTCAAGTACTCATGGAATATCTGGAAAAACACAAAACATAAATTATCAACAAATTCAAAAATTCTAGATCTTCCCTCATTTCCTGATCCAAAACCCAATTAAGCTATACAGGTTTTTTTAACTAAAACATTTACTTTCAAATTTTAAAAGATACTCCAGCTGGGTACAGTGCCCCATGCCTGTAATCCCAGCACTTTGGGAGACCAAGATGGAAGGATCACTTGAGCCCTGGAGTTCAAGACCAGCCTGGGCAACATAGCAATACCCTGTCTCTATCAATCAGTCAATCAACCAACCAACAAACCAATCAAAAAAAAGATAGTTCTAAGTAATTAATAATAAAAAATTAGAGAAAATAGAGAACAGATCATAAAAAATAGTAATTATAAGAACACTTGGGATGAAAAAAAAAATAACGGGAAAGTTTATTCTTAAATGCTTACATAAGAAAAAAAAAGGCCTGGTTACATAAGAAAACAAATGGCCTTAGTAACCCAACATAAGAAGTTAGAAAAATAGCAGAATTGCCTAAATATGAAGAGGAAAATAAGCAGCACGAATGAGGCAGAGAACAAAGATACATAAAGAGGACCAAAAAAGCCAAAAGTCGGTCCTTTGCCAATAAAATTGACAAACTTTAGAAAAGACAAAATAAAATCAGAATCTCTGAGCATGGAGGCCTGGTATCAAGTACCTTGTAGAATCAACTGGAGAGCTTTCACATTAGCACCAGAGTTGAGGATTACTCTTCTCATCTGTTACCTTTCATTTTTCTTAAGTGACTTTATATCATGTAAGAATCCTAAACTACCAACTTATTTCTATGTAATATATTTCATTCTTCTTTTAATAAATATTTATGGAGGCACCACCATAATAAACAGATGTGAATCTGATTCTCATGTTGCTTAGGGTCTAAAAGAGAAAATATTAAGCAAAGAAAGAACAAACTAATTTCATCACTGTTCATAACAAAATGTAAAAATACTGCCTAAAAACATAAAGGCTTAAGGATATTATATAAAGTCATAATAGTGAAGGTAACACAGGGTTGAAAAATGCAAACTATGTAACAAACTTACACAGGTACTCCCTGAATCTAAAAGTTACAATTATTTTTTTTAAAAGAGCTCCAAAAGGAAATATTCTGAAAATTAAAGTTAAAAATAAACAAACTATTTAGATTATTAAATCAGTATGGCTTCTTTTATGCTACAATGGCAGAGTTGAGTAGCTAGACAAAGAACTCATCACACGGCCTGCAAATCCTAAAATATTTACTTTCTGGCTCTTTAAGAAAAAGATGGCTGGCCCCAGCACTGTATTAACAGAGTAAAGAAGAAATTCATTCATCTCAAGGGAAGCAGAAAACATTGATAAAATTCAATATTCATTCATGACTTAAGAAAATAGCCGGGCACGGTGGCTCACGCCTGTAATCCCAGCACTTTGGGAGGCTGAGGCGGGTGGATTATGAGGTCAGGGGTTCGAGACTAGCTTGATCAACATGGAGAAACCCTGTCTCTACTAAAAACACACAATTAGCCAGGCATGATGGCACAAGCCTTCAATCCCAGTTACTCAGAAGGCTGAGGGGGAAGAATCGCTTGAACCTAAGAGGTAGAGGTTGCAGTGAGCCAAGATCGTGCCACTGCACTCAAGCCTGGGCAACAGACTTTTTTTTGAGACTCCATCTCAAAAAAAAGGAAAAGAAAATAATGATAATGATTTCTGGCAAATTAGGACATATTAGTTCTTTCACCTTTATCAGGTTAACCTGCAGCAACCATCATTCTCAACAGTGAAATATCAGAAACATTCCTATGAAAATCGAAAACAAGACAAGGATGCCTGCTGTCCTTCCTACTTTTCAATATAATGTCTGTGGCCCTAACCGGTACACTAGGTCAAGAAAAAGGCATAAGGATTACAATTATAAAAGGAAGAGTCAAGACTGTCTTTCTTTAAAAATGGTATAGTTACTGGCCAGGCACGGTAGCTCATATCTGTAATCCCAGCGCTTTGGGAGGTCGAGGTGGGAGGATCACTTGAGCCAACCTGGGCACCCTAGTGTGAACCCATCTCTATGAAAAACAAGAAAATTAGCCAGGTCTGATGGCACATGCGTGTAGTCCCAGATACCCAGAAGTCTGAAGGGGGAGATCAACTGAGCCCTGGAGGTTGAGCCTGCAGTGACCTGTCATCACGCCACTGCACTCCAGCCTGAATGACAGAGCAAGACATGGTCTCAAAGAAAAAGAAAAGAAGAAAAACAATGGTATGGTTACCTACCTAAGTAGACATCTATATTAAGACTAATAAGAGCTGAGAAAGAGTACTATGAACAGCTGCCTCTTCTCTGCCACGGTCTTCCGCTTGTTCCCACTTTCCTCAATCATCCTAGATTCAAAATTGATACACTAAAATCAACATACTAAATGATACAACTGAATAATGGCTGGAAAAAGGTGATTCTGGCATCCACAGAAAGTAGTTATACTGGAGTTTCTGTTGACGTTGCTGGAAATTAGGGGGTGGGTCTACCAGCAGAGCATACTATGCAATTCTGCCTGTGAAGAAGCAGGGGAGACCCAAGAAGCCATACTCACCAATGTCTCCCCGACTGACTGTTATCCTTAGGTTTGTTATAGAGGATGACAATTCCTATGAGGTTTTGTGTAAGAGTAGTAACATTTACAAAGAAGTAAACCCAGTTCTTGGCAGGACTACTTCAGATCTCTACCCCGTCATGCCTGCACACTCATGTGTATTTATTTAAGGCACCACAGCCTCTTCAGTGTATCAGGAATATCAGGAATTACTATGTTTGTGTATTTGGTTTCCCATTTTGTCTGCTTCCTTTTACTAAAATAGAAGTTTCATGAGTGAGGCCAGGGACTGTGTTCTGTTCTCCCCTGCAGCCCTAGCACCCAGAATAGTGCCTCGAAGTTGAAGGGAAAAGATGACCCCTATGCTGAGATTTGAAGGCTAGGCAGAAGCAGTGTGCCAGATGGTAGAGACAACCATATTGTGCAAAGGCACAAGGCATGCAGCCACACCGTCTTCAGGAAAGCCAATTCAGTATTCCTGGGAAGTAACATGCAAGGTATGTGATGAAAAAATTGGGAACTAGGGGGAAGCGCAAAAAAGGTGCCAGAAGGGCCTTGTTTGGCATTCTCAGGAGTGGGGTCCTTCCCATTAAAGTGATAAGAAGCAAGTAAAGGAATGTAAGCAAAGAAGTAGCACACATTTAGGCTGGGCGCAGTGGCTCATGCCTATAATCCCAGCACTTTGGGAGGCCAAGACGGGCAGATCACTTGAGGTCAGGAGTTTGAGACTATCTTGGCCCACATGGTGAAACTGTGTCTCTACTAAAATACAAAAATTAGACAGGCATTGTGGCAGTGCCTGTAACCCCAGCTACTCAGGAGGCTGAGGCAGGAGAATCACTTGAACCTGGGAGGCAGAAGTTGCAGTGAGCCGAGATGGTGCCACTGCACTCCAGCCTGGTCAACTGAGCGAGACCCCATCTCAAAAAAAAACAAGTAGCACAGATTTATATTGTTCAATCTGGTAGCTGATCATAGATAGCAGACTTGAGAGGGTCAAGACTAGAAAAAGGGATCAGGAAATTATTGCTTTTGCTCAGAAAAGTACCAATGATTAAAGAAAACATTAGTGATAAACACGGCCATCCATAACAAGTATGTCCTATTCTGTGTCAGGCATTGTACCAAGTGCTTTATTCACATTATTTCATTTAATCTTCACAATTCTATGAAGTCAGTGCCATCCCTGCTTTATGGATGAGGAAACAGAGGCCCAGAGAGATTGTTAACTTGCCTAAGGTTATTCAGCCAGGAAGTGAGGCAGCCAAGGTCCAAACAAAGCAGTCTAACTGCAAAGCTGGATTCAAAGCCACTGCGGTGTGACGAACAGATTCAGACTCATGAACCTGGTAAAACTCAGATGCCTTCTTGATTTCTTTGGAGGTAGAAGGTGAGGTGAAGGGAAATGACTCTAAGGTATCTAGCTTGGATTGCTAGCAATTAGAAATTTGGAACTACAAAAGTTCTTAATGATCACCCAGTCAAGCTGCCTATCCAATGCCAAAATTTCTTCTTTACCACCTCTAACAAATAGTTATCCAGCCTATGACTGACAGGACAACACACGACTTAGCTGAGTCAAACTCTGCCTACCATTACCAAGACCCTAAAGATGTCAAGTATGTTGAGAGTTGGGCCTTCTGAGATTTTTATCCACTGATTTTCATACTGTGATATACAGAATTCTAGAATTCTGCTAGGACCCAGGGGGCTATCCCAGGCTGGCTCTTCCTCCTCTCTCCTGCTTCAGCCAAGCACTAGCAATTTTATAATACTCATATGTTGAGGGTCCTTGTAAGATGTCACTGAGAAAAAAAAAGTACAGTACTTTTAAAGGTTTCACGATCACTGGTCCAGACCAATAACCCCTATTTCATGGCAAAGGAATTTGAGGTTCAGCAAATGCGACCTTGAGTTGGTCAAGGTCACATGGTCATGGTCACATAGACAAACAGTCACAGAGCAAAACAGTCCTGCAAGGATTGTGAACCACCCCACTTCTCTCAGCCATCTTCTTCTCTTTGTTTGAACTGTATACAAGAATCTAATTTTTAACAGAATATTTAAAGTTAAAAATATATCAAAATACACATTCTTTTTAATTTTTCCAATAGCTCCAGGTGTCACCCTAACACTTAGTCCCCTTCTATCTCAGAACTGGTATGTAGTAGAAGGTAACTAATATAATGTATTAATCACTAATCACCATCTGCAAGCTCATGGTAACAATGGAGTTACAGCAAGAGATCTAAATTGACTGGCATGGTACAAAATCACAGATATTCTAGGTAACATTTCTGCCCTGTTATTTATGGCCTTGCCTAAGAAAGCAAGTCAATTCTATTAAAATACATGCTTTGGCTTGGGGTCCTTCAATTCCTTGATTCTTTAACTCTCATTCTTCCCTCTTGAAGCTTATAACATAAAACTTGTAATTGATTAAAAGCTATGACTTGATCAAAAAAAAAAAAAACCACAAACATTCCCGCACATCTGAACAAGGACTCAAGACTCACGCATTTCTATGAAGAGCTGCCTCTTCTCTGCCATGGTCTTCCGCTTGTTCCCACTTTCCTCAATCATCCTAGAGACAAAGAAAGATACAATAAACCACTGTATAATTTGACAATTCAATCAAGTGCTAATCACTCTATTGTGAAGAGGTACAGAAAACCAAGTTGCAAATACACATTTTAAGACGGTATCAATAGAAATAAACAGGAAGCCTGATTCAGACAAAGATAAACCACTGTCCTTTTATTTGATGGCTTCTAAAATATTAATCAATACTTATATGAGCTCATACAATTGCTTACTGTGCTAAAAATATAAGCTGTCTTATTTTTAACTTCAGTTATTTTCTCTGCAGATTCCTGGATTAGTTGAGATAATTTCCCATATCTCTACTGTTTCATATAGATAAACATGTTACTAAATATAATTTAGAAAATAAATGTAATGAAAGGCTGTAATAAAGGACATAAGAATAGTTTATACATAAATATATATATAAATAAAATATTCAATTTTATATTAAAGAAATAAGGTCTTCGTCCCTAATATGGTTTGGCTGTGTCCCCATCCAAATCTCAACTTGAATTGTATCTCCCAGAATTCCCATGTGTTGTAGGAGGGACCGAGAGGGTAACTGAATCATGAGGGCTGGTCATTCCCATGCTATACTCGTGATAGTTAATAAGTTTCATGAGATCTGATAGGTTTATCAGGGGTTTCCACTTTTGCTTCTTCCTCATTTTCTCTTGCCGCCACCATGTAAGAAGTGTCTTTCACCTCTAAGGCCTCCCCAAGTCATGTAGCACTGTAAGTCCAATCTAACTTTTTTTTCTTTCCAGTCTTGAGTATGTCTTTATCAGCAGTATGTAAATGGACTAATATAATCCCCTAACTAAAAAAGCTCCTAAATACGAATTTTCTATTACATGGTGACAGTAGTTTACATTAACAGACAGGCTATCCCAGTCACGTGCCAATCTCTTTATATGCATTATCTCATTTAATTCTCACAAAAACCCTATGTGATGGAATTATTATTATCTCCACTATGTAGATTAGGAAGCAGATGTCTAATCTCTAAATACTATAGACACTATTCTTTTAGTATGCCTAAAGGAATACTAACTTGTTCAAGGGCACACAACTACGAAATGGCAGAATGGAATCCCAACTCTTTCATTAAACTTGTTAAATAATTATTGCCTGTAGATACATATTTCTAAACCTCTATGTCTAAAAAGCTAGAACAGGCCAGGTGTGGTGGCTCACGCCTCTAATCCCAGCACTTTGGGAGGCCAAAGTGGGTGGATCACTTGAGGTGAGTTCAAGACCAGCCTGGCCAACATGGTGAAACCTTGTCTCTACTAAAAACACAAAAATTAGCTGGGCATGGGGGTACACACTTGTAAATCCAGCTACTTGCGAGGCTGAGGCAAAAGAATCCCTTGAATTTGGAAGGCGGATGTTGCCGTGAGCCAAGATCACGCCACTGCAATCCAGCCTGGGCAACAGAGAGACTTCATCTCAAAAACAATTAAAAAATAAAAAATAAGAAAAAACTGGAACACAAATGGCCTCTTACATGAACCCCACTGATATAAAATTTGTGACAATTTCAGTTGCAGTTTGCCTTACTCTATTAAGAAAAAATATCTATAGAGCATATGCCCAATAATTTCCCTAAGTAGATTAAACTGTGTAAATCGTTTTCAAATATGATTAAACTCTTGTAGATTTAACTGTTGTAAGTCATTCTCAAATACATTGGAATCACAAATTGTACGACAACTACAAATTACATATCCATTAAAGCAAGTTGCCCTGGTTATAAAAAGTTTACTTGTAATATATTATAAATAAAATTTTTAAATATAAATATATTTCTTAACATTTTACAATAAATATTCTGATTAAGACTGGCTCTTTAGGCCAAGTACAGTGGCTCGCACATGTAATCCCAGCACTTTGGGATGCCAAGGTGGGAGATCACTTGAGCCCAGGGGTTCAAGACCATCCTGGGCAACATGGCAAGCCCCCATCTCTACCAAAAAAAAAAAAAAATCTTTTAATTAGCCAAGCATGGTGACATGGGCCTGTGGTCCTAGCTACTTAGGAGGCTGAGGCAGTAGGATCACCTGAGCCCAGGAGCTGGAGGCTGCAGTGAGCTGTGATTGCACCACTGTAATCCAGCCTGGCTGACAGGGCAAGACTCTGTCCCAAAAAAAAAAAAAAATTTTAATTTTTTTTAAATAAAAGAGTCGGCCGGGCGCGGTGGCTCAAGCCTGTAATCCCAGCACTTTGGGAGGCCGAGGCGGGTGGATCACGAGGTCAAGAGATCGAGACCATCTTAGTCAACATGGTGAAACCCCGTCTCTACTAAAAATACAAAAAATTAGCTGGGCATGGTGGTGCATGCCTGTAATCCCAGCTACTCAGGAGGCTGAGGCAGGAGAATTGCCTGAACCCAGGAGGCGGAGGTTGCAGTGCGTCGAGATCGCGCCATTGCACTCCAGCCTGGGTAACATGAGTGAAACTCTGTCTCAAAAAAAAATAATAATAAATAAAATAAAATAAAATAAAAGAGTCTTTGGACTTTCTGAAATAAAGCACAACTGCAACAGAAAATAATGATAATGATTTGTAATAGAAGTATTACGAATTCAGTATTCCTGGGGAGTAACATGCAAGGCATGTGATGGAAAAATTGGGATCTAGGGGGAAGAGCAAGAACGGTGCCAGAAGGGCCTTGTTTGGCATTCTCAGGAGTGGGGTCCTTCCCATTAAAGTGATAAGAAGTAAGATACTTTACAAATTATCTAAACTTACAAAATGATAGTATCCTAAAGTCATGTAAACAATTATTACAAACCTGAATCAAACAACACATAAAATCTGAACAGACCCCTTACCAAAGGAGATATACGGAATGGCAAATAAGCATCCAAAAAAATGTTCAAAGAAAAAAAAAAACTCCACATCTGTTAGAATCGCCAAAATCCGGAACACTAACTGTAGGGGGTAGATCCCATAAGTGCCGAAGCAGGAGCCAAAAGCCTCAGCCTACTTCCATATAAACAATGAAGAAGAAAGTAACTAGAAATATAACCATAGTAGTTATTAGTTATT